CAGATCAGTCAAGCTGCCAGTGATGACACGATCAAGTTTGCTAGGGGCCTCGTGGAGCAAGCCTCGAATAATCCACTGATGGTTGCCAGTGGAGAAGAGTCAGTTACTAGTCAGTCGTCGAGCTATGTTTTGTTGCAGTGCACAAGAGATCTTAATAGTGAAGGCTGCAAGAACTGCTTAGAAACCGGGTTGAGCCAAGTTGGTGCTCAGTGCAACCAAACTAACGGGTGGCGATATCTATCAGGAAGTTGCATGCTGAGGTACGAGGTGTTTCCCTTCTTCAACACTTCGGCAATATCAACTCCTGGATCTCCACTGATAGCTTCTCCATAGGGCGAAGAAGGTTTGCGTCATTTCTGTCAGTCAAACCTGATATATTTCAAAGAGTAGCCCGCTTGCAAATAGACCCCTCGAGTGAATTTATTTTCCTCTTAAATACTGAAAAAAATGTTTGAGGAGGCGGATAGACCCCTATAGTTCTATTGGTAAGGATAAACATCCAATTTCTCATTTTTTTAACTTAAAAAAGATAAAAAATTCACTAAGGGGGTGTACTCGCACTTGGCCCAATATTATAGAGGTCTGTCTATTCACTACAAGTAGAACTATAAGGGGTCTATTCGCAACAAATAGACCTACAAGCGGTCTCTTTGCAGTTGGGTAATACTAAAGGGGGTCTGTTTGCAATTAACTCATAGTAAATAATAAATTTTGAAGACCTATCATCCAACACACCAAAAAGGTGGAATATGGAACCTCTACTAAAAAACTGGAAGTCATAATCTTCTTTCCTGCATTCTATTTCACTTTTTTTTCCCCGACTCTTTTTTTTTTGTTCAATAAGAGAAGAAAAGCATGTTATCAACTTCCTGTATTCTGGGTGTTTTTTTTTTTTTTTTTTGATGTTTTTTTTTTGTAAGTGTGAACTGATTGTTTTTTTCTTGGTTCCTAATCCAATCCAGGGCACTGATCCCACCTGGAAATCCTGAGCATTCAGCAGAAGATGCTTGACTATGAGCATTCATGCTCACATGGAGCCATTTAAGTTCTGGCGTGGCGGTAGATACTATAGCTATGATGGTAGGGTTTGTCTTTGGTGTGGCACTAGGGCACATCCCCAACCACAACCTCAACCACACCCCCTCTCTTATTTGTTACAGTGCACCGGACCTCACATGAGATTATAAACATGTTTTGTGAATATAGCAAAAAAAGGACTGTTTTGTGAATATAAACATGTTTTGTGAATATAGCAAAAAAAGGACGAGATTATAAACATGTTTTGTGAATATAGCACTGTTTGAAGAAAAAACACCATCTTGAATTTCGAGCATTATTATTATTTTGGAATCTCTGCCATTCAAATGGAATATGACTTGCATCATCTCACACGCATAAACGTCAATTAATTGTCCCAAAAATCATGGTACATTTTGAAAAAAATTACTGTCCAATTCAGTATGAGATGATCAGCAGCTCTCATAATCCTACTCTGAAAAATGGAAAGTAGAAGCCACAACAATGGCTTTGCGTAGGATAAAAGAACGGCAACCAGATGCGAGTTAATCTTTTTTTAAATGTACTTTTTGTTGACTGTAACTAGACACTAGTCTAACAGTAAGCAAATCACACAAACAGCCAAGTGCTCCGACTTCTTAGCCAAAAACAAACTTTCATTTGTTTTCACAAAAAAATGCCAATTTTGTTTTGAAAGAAAGATATGAAAACAACTGAAAGAAAGATACGCAAACAAACTTCATTTCTTTTCATAATGAAATGTTGACTTTGTTTTGAAAGAAAGACATGAACCATCAATTCCTGATTACATCTGACAGAGAAGTGCAAAGATAACACGAACGAACTTTTAATGTAATCAGCCTCAATTGATCAACAGTAGATGAGAAGAGAATGTTTAAGCTTCTTTGTGAAACTTATCAAGCTTATCACCTCAGGCTTCAACAAGGTATCCAGGGAAATAATAATAATAGCAGTCACTATGGCTTGTTTAAATTGACCAAAAGAGCTTGAACATGTCACGACTTCCAAATTGTCAACAAACGAGACCTTGAATTTTGTACATATTGACTTGACGCCTTCTTGTTTGCTGTCATGCGCAGCATGGGTGGAAGAAAAAAAGCACTAAATTCTATCCACTTCCATCCTCGAGCTGTCCATGAGAAAGAAGACGGGCCATGTATTGCTGGAACATTAGCAGCAAAACTTCAGAAAAAGTGCATCAGCATAAACTTCTTTCTCAAAGAGCATCAAGATAAATCATTCATCAAAAGGGCGTGGAAGAAATGCAAATTTGCTTAGGAGACCGACGTATTATACCAATACAACAAAAGACATTAGCAATGTCATCAGTTGCAGCGAAACGAGGACTGACCAAAACTAAAGGTGGGAACAAAATATGGTGTCGCCACTCTTTGAGCTTCCCTCCCAATGGAAAGCAAGACATGATAAATCTTTAAAAAGTGAATCGCACTTGTACGTTTTTGTCCAAGTTTTTCTTTAACATCATTATTATAAATATAGACCGTCAATGATTTGGCTACATTGTACGCTTAAACATAATACACAGTTATCATCAGTATGTCAGCACAAGCATCTAACAACTGTAGTAAGGCCTTTCCACATCTCAAATAGCTCAGCTTGCATCAAAGAAAAGCCTTGAAAGTATTTACATATTATTCAAAGTTAAAGCAATCAATAAAGACCGATGACCTCCTGAGGGATAGCGTAAAGAAATTACTTTTGTCTGACTCTTCCAACATGGATATGACTTCCTTCTCCAAGGGCGAGGAAGGGTTACTAATTTGCCAAATAAATACAGTTAATTTTTGTAAAAATCACTTAGTTTAATCATGACTTTCAGACACACCAAATAATAACTGCCGCATTACCTCGAAATATGAGACAGAAGTTTAAGAATCAGAACTTGTAAGGACATGTCGAAAAAGAATTAAAACACTCTAATGGGTCAAGAACTACGGAACCAACTTCTGATAACACCAGTTGCATGCACTACAAAGTTGCTTGGGCTTCCAGTAGATGATCCATACCAGTTTTTAGAAATGACTGTGGCAAAGTACACTTCTGAGGTCCTTTGACTAGAAATGATCTGAGTCATATATTGGTAGAATACTTTGCTCATTGGCTTGTAAATGTGTTCCAAACTGAAGTTGTTGATGATGCAAAAGAACGGTTCTTAGTTTGTCCCTTGGACAGAAGACTTTTCATGTGCTGTAAAATTCAACAATTTCCCCTCTTTGTTTACTTGTTATTCCCATCGTAGAGGAGAATTTTGCAGACTGAACCTCATTTAACCAGTTCAAATTACACCATTACTGGGGTAAACCTTCTCACAAACCATTTGGTCTAATTAAATTAGTCTACATGACAAGCCACTCTCTTTCTTGTACTTCTAGTGAACTTTCCAGCAAGTCATTGAAAATCTAGTCATGCTACCATCTGCAAATCATGTGTGGAGCTTTCCCGAGTTATAAAGTTGTGCTCAATATAGTTCTTATTGTCTGAAAAAGGCTCAAAGATTCTAGTATGAGAAAACTATAGACTTCCTCCAAAAAAGGTGATACAGGAGATCTACACGCGATGACTCGAATCAGACGAGTCAACAACAAAACAGACAAGACAAGACTCGACGACTCAAACCAGACGAGTCGACAACAAACTAGTCGAAAGGACCCAAGACCCCGAGACGAGATCAGGTGTTGGACGAGACGACAGGCGACAGGACGAATCGACACCCGCGAGTCAACACGAAAGGCGGGACTACTCGACATACTCAGTCGACACATCCCAGTCGACACGAGGAGCGGTGTTAATCGACACATGTCAGTCGACACATCTCAGTCGACACAAGGGGCAGAGTTAGTCGGCTCATGTCCAGTCGACACGAAAGGCGTTACTTCTCGCCACCCTTCGTGTCGACTCGGATTTCAGTTTAGGAAAGAGTTCCTTTTTGTTTGTTTCCTTTTGGGATTTAGTATTTTTCTTTTAGAATTAGAGTTTCTTTTTTATTAGAGTTAGGATAGGATTAGTTGGCTATAAATAATAGTTCCTTTTGTAAATTGCAAATCAACTTTTTAATTATTCAATTAAGAGAATTCTCTTTGTTTTCGTTCTCAACTTTGAGAAACTTAGAGCTTATTGATTCAAACTCGTGAAATACCTGCTGTTGTCAGGGCTCGTCGGCATCGGAACGATATCCGATCGGCCTCCCCGTTTCTACGTCTGCGTCAAGTGGTATCAGAGTTTCGGCTTCAACATCCTCGACAATGGCAGGTGACGGAGAGAATGAACTTTCTCTATATGATCTTTCCGCGAGGATGGATTCTATGGATAGAAGATTTGGCACATTGGAGGCGTCTCTTCAGAACCTTCAACAAGTCATTGAGGGACTTACCATTCACCTCAACAATGGGAATAATTTCGCCGACGGTCTTCACCTAAGCGGACCCAGAGTTAGGCTACCTCGACATCCACCCCCGTACAATCCTCAAACCCCTCCAGTTCAACCCCCTCCAAATCAACTACATCCAAACCAACCCCCTCCATATCAAGCCCCTCCATATCAACCTCCTCTATATCAACCCCCTCCTCATCATCGACGGCTTCCCAACCAACTCCTTCACCATGATGATTACAGTGACGACGGAGCGGACTATGATCACCAATTTGAAGGGCCATGGAACGACAATGTTTCGAGTGAAGAAGAAGAAGATCGGCCTTATGGCAGAGGTCGAGGCAGGGGCTACAACTCTCGTCACAACCACCACCGACAAGGCCGATATCATCAGGAACAAGAATATTGGATGAAGGTAGAACTTCCTTCCTTTGAAGAAAATTTGGACATAGAAGCTTTCCTGGATTGGCTCTACGAAGTGAAAAAGTTCTTTGAGATGGCTAATATTCCCGAAGAAACCAGGTAAAGTTTGTAGCCTATCGTCTCAAAGGAGGAGCCGCGGCATGATGGGATCAAACTCAAAACACTAGGCGACGATAAGGCAAACAACCAGTTCGGGTTTGACGACGCATGAAGCAGTTGCTACAGGCGAGATTTCTACCACCCGACTATCAACAAATCCTCTACAATCAGTTTGAGCAATGCCGTCAATGAATCCGAATAGCAAGTGCTTATACCGAAGAGTTCTTTCGTCTTACTTCTCGTTGCGATTTGTCGATGAGCGAGGAACAACTCGCAGCCAAGTATATCGACGGTTTAAAGTATTCAATTCAAGAGAAGGTGATCATCCACAATGTGTATTCCGTGGACAAAGCCCACAATATAGCTCTGTAGGCGGAAAGAT